TATAGATTACTTGTTAAAACACTAGTTATAGAAATAATATGAATATAATAATCAAAATTAAAATTAAAAAAATTGCCGCACGAAATGTAAACCCTAAATTCTAATAATAAAATGTAGTTATAAATTAGAGAAACTTTCACTGTATACGTATTTTGTTGTCTAGATTATACTTACTTAATATACAAAACCATATATGCCCAATAAAATAAAAAGTTTATTATGTAGTAACTTTTTACGTTTAAAAAAATTTCGGATTTTTTTGAAAACCCCTCGTGTATCAGATTTTCTTTTATCGAGTAAACCGGGACCAGAAAATTTTCGATGATCGTAACTACTTTCAATTAATGCTTTGATCATCGACATATATAGACTATTTGTACACAGTTTCTTTTATCGAGAGTTGATCGTAATTGGATGGATTGTTGATTTCACCAGTTTTAGAACCCTCAAAAATAGAAGATATTACACCACCTATACAACACAACCAGTCTATAGATGATTATTTCAATCAAATAAAGACGTATGCTACAGAATTGGGTGTGAGCTTAGATAACCAAGACCTTAAGGTAAAATTCTTCAACGGTTTATCGCCAGAAAATAAAAAAGATATGATCCGGTTTGGATTTAAAGAACCTCTGAAAAAAATAGTCGAGCACTTGAATAGAATCTCAGCTGGACCTACCGATATGCAGAAGTTTTGATTTGAGGATTTAAAGCAAGTCTAAGAGTTTTTTTGCGTAAATTATCTTGAGTAATGTTGGGAAGAAAAAGTTTTATTTCTTTGTAAATCATTGTTCTTGCTGTCTTATCTTTGATCTTGCCATCAGATGTAATGGCACAAACCTTGCTTTCAAATTCAAGAGAATAGTAATACCAGTCAGTTTATGATTTCCTGTTGCCGAGATCTGATTGCCGTTTTAAATAAATAAGCTAGATGTTGAGCCAAACCTTTATTTTCCGATATATTAATTTAAGTAGAGCTAGTATTATCTATCGCAGAATTCTCAGTAGATAAACACAATTCTTCTATTAAACCCTGCTCTACGATTTGATTTTTATCAGTTTCATCATCTTGCTCTAATTCAGATATTTCAGTTTGATCATTTCACGAACAAATGGTTTTTCTACTTGAATCTTGATCGTTCCCTGAGGGAACGGTTTTTATATCACATGATTCGGATGTCGCTAAAGAAACATCATGATTAACTGAAGATATGTCTGGATTTTGATCCTAAAGTTTCTCCTCATGCTTTCTCTGCCTGATCGAATCGCTAACCCTTTTCTTATGTACCTCGTCCAGGAATTCATCGATCACTTTAGACGCATTAACATCCTCGCTCCGTGAGTCTTCTGGCGATTTAGCCTTCGTATCCTGGTATACATCAAAATTTGAAGCGTTACTAGTTACATCAGGATTTGGAGCGTTATCGGATACATCGTAATTTGAAGTATTATCAGATATCGAGGTATCCTTACATTGTGAGACTGTCTGATCAAGTGTATTACAGTATCAGAATTTACCTCCATGTTCTTATCTTGCATGCTCTGTTCCTTGATTAATGAGACATCGTGTTGCAATTTAGTAATAAGGATCAACTTTTCTTTGTCCTTCTGCTCTAGTTTTACAAACCTGGCCTCAATTTCTTCTTTATCTTGTTTCAATTTTGTATTCTCGGCCTTGACCTCAACGTTCTCCTTTCTAAGTTCAGAAATTGTGGCAATGAGTTGAGAATTTAATTCTTGCAACGAATCGATTTTTGATTGAGCGCCTGACATTGTTTATACAAGACGCGGATATGTTTAAAAGTTTTTTGTCGTGTAGACATGAATTCCTTGATTGTAGTTGGCCACTTTTCCCAGATGCAGACCATAATAGAAAAATTCTCAAACTTATGGATATCGATATCCAATGCAAGAATCTGAGATAAAGAGCGTCATAAGCATTGTAATTCTCACTGTTGGTCGAAAAAATCTGGAAGAGACACGTGGGTATGATAGACAGTCAATCTGGCATCATAGGAAAAATCGAAATTTTATTCATTATTGTTTTTTTTCGATTGTATTCAGTATTAGTCCTAGTAATAAACATAAAGGCATTTGCATGGAAAGTGAGACAGAACTAATGACAGTTAAAAAAGGTCAGCGTGTATCGAAATAGGACTCGACTAAGTCCCGATATAAGATGTATAAATAGGATATGACACGCCAGTTTTAGCGACTTAAAATATTAGACCGAACTTTAAAGAGATCGATGGAAATAGGGTTAGGTAGGGGAGGTGAGGGGATCACAAAGTTATTGGGCATTCCGTGGTAAATGCATTCAAGAAAAATGTTGATAACACATTGACCCCGTACAATGTTAAGTGGATTACCCTGACGATCAACCGTCCCAAACTCATACTGAATAGAGAAAACATTAAATTCATTCATTTCTGTGCTGAAAAAGTACGTTATGATATAACATACCATTGTAGGAGCGAATGCACCAACTGATGTTGTATCATTAACGCAATAGTGCCAAGCCTATTAAAGAATAAACATTATCCAAGTGAACTGGGCAGAAATTAAATCCTCTTGCCGTTACTTACTGTCATCTCCGTTGGAGTCGTACCGTCCGGAATATAATTTAGCTTGATCGCAATTACGTCATGAACTCTATTATTAACAAGCCAGTAAGTCTCTACTTTTCTCTTAAGTTCCTCCTCAGTTACGGAATAGGCGACTTCGACTACAAGATTGGGCCAGGGTTGGTTCTAAGATTATATGTTGTTACCAATATTAGGAATTCGACACAATCACATCAGCAAGTACACAAGGTTAAAAACACTTCATACCATTCCATCATATCCATTGCTAGGCACTGGAGGTTTTCCAAGAGGTCGAAAAGATGCATCAGGCTCCTTTCCTCCTCCACGGCTCTTTGTTGCTTTTAGTCAACGGTAGTGAGTAATAGAGGCATACTTAGAATGCAGTAACATAAAGAAAACCAATAACTCACTCGTTGATCCAGTAAATTTAATTTCAGCAGGAGTGTCGTCCAGGGGATCAAATATTCCGCCCAATTTTTTCACAATTGTACCGATAGCTTCCTCGTGAAAACGCATGGGAAATTCAATAACACGAACAGTTTCACTTTCCCATTCCCAAAAGCCTTTTATGTTATGTTTGTCTGTTCGAAGAATATATTCGTCCAAGGTAATACCAGTCTTGAGCACGTATGGTAGACTTGGCAACAAATAACAACTGATATCAGCCACTATAAAATATCGAGTCGTCGAAGCAAATAGGAGACTTACGTCGCCTCATTCCACCTAGCTTTGGGGTGAAAGTTACCGGTGTTCCACCAAAGCTGACGGTACCAGTTAACATCCCTCACCGGATTACCAGGAGAAGTAGAAACCTCCGTTTCACTAGACATGGCTATTTTTCGACAAAAAGTAACACAATCCTGCCTGCCTTGAGGCAAAATAGGAAATTCCCACACCTTTGCTTACCACTACGTTATTCAACGTAGCACGACTTTGAGTGTTCGATTTAGTTGATAAAATAAATAAATCTAAATCCCTAAATTTGATATAACTACATAAATATCTAAAAACACTATAATTTGATCATATACAATGACTAGCTTAAGTGAAAGACGTGGAACCACCAATTGTACCGATGCTGAATGAGATGAAATCCTGAAAATGGGTAAAGTTTTATAGAATGAGACTCCTACATATTGGATGAATCGAATTTGGCCCCGCTTACAATATTTTAGGGAGAATAATCTTATACCTAACAACAGAAAATACTTTGAAGCTAGAAAAGAAATACTACTTTGGAATGGCATTAATAATTCTTGGAAAAGCTTTTCACCTGAAATTGGAATCGCTATCTGTTTCTCTTGTAATCAACTTGTATATATCGGGGAACGAACAGCAAATATAGGTAATTATGTCCATATAGGAATAGAGAGACATTGGGCTACCCATTGTACGGGAAATAGCTTTTGTGGTGTAAGTTACAATGAATATTTACTGAGAATCGAACGAAAATCTAATTCTGGATATAATTATGATAATGAATATGCATTACATAGATATGAATTATGGATGTCCAATGCTATTAATAGGATTAAGCGTGCTAGAGAAGTTGGAAAAAAAATCAGAGCATGCACAATTATACAGAAAAAGTGGTTAGAGTATTTCTACAGACCTGATGGCCTCTGTGCTTCAGAATTAGCATTACATTACAAATTATTATGGGCAGTTCGAGAAGAGATGCGACAAATTAACAATGTATAAACTATGTTTGCAAAGCAATGCACAATTATTTATTAATTATATAACTTATTCTCATATACTGTATATATACAGTATGTATCAAAAAAAATTGACCTTTTTTTTTTTTTAATAATTTTTTAAATTTTTATTTATAAAAAAAAAAATACATTAATAAGGAATTCAATCACCATCATTATCGATAATTAGCTGACAATGGCATTTCATTAATTTAACAAGATTAGCTAAAGTATTAGTTGGAATTTTTTGCCATTCTTCAATCATGAAATGTTCTAACTCATCAAGATTTGATAGTAACCACTTTTCCACACTATTTTTAACGATACCCCATAGGTTTTTTATGGAGTTAAGGTCCAGGCTATTGACCAGCCAATCGATAATTTCAGGGAAAGTCTCATCAACAAACTCTTGGGCAATTCGGCTCATATGCTTCGGGTCATTGTCCTGTTGAAACCTCCATCACCTACCAAGCATTCTTCTGATTTCTGGATGGTGTTGACACAAGATTTCGATGTAAAATTTGGTGTTTATGATGTTAGTAAAGCAAAATAAAGATGTCTTGCCTTTAATACAAAATCACTCCAGGCAAAAATCTTTTGTCTATTTTTAGAAAGTGGTCTGATTGGTTTATGATCCTTGTACCATCGTTTTATCGTGTTCTTAAACAAAAAAAAAGCTGTCTCATTGGAAAACAGTGTTTGTTCCCAACTATCATTAAGATGTTTTATCACTTATTCAACCCGTTTTTCCTTATTAAGGCCTATGAGCATTGGAGTGCCTACTAGAAGAGCATTTTTATAACCAAGCTCTTTTAATTTCCTCTACACAGTCGAGTGTGATATGGACTCTCTGTTCTTGAAAAGTTTTATAGCCAAAATTTGCAAAGGTAAGAAGCTATCCTTGTTGATATAACATCTGAGAACATATGCCTTTGCCGATCTGATCTTTTTTGAACAACTGTTGCCTCTCAGATGTGTAACATTTCCAGTTTTTTTTATTTTTCATATATTGTACTTAATTATAGAGTGAGAAATGTTGGTAAGCTTTTGGAGTTCCTTGAGTGAACATATTTCCTGATTCCAGAAATGAATAATTATTTGGCGTTGAGAAGTTAACCTGATGTTGAATATTTTTTTTAAAAAAAATTTTTATAGAGCAAGGCTCTTTAAATATATTAGCATATGCAAAGGGTTATGTGATACCATTATTATAATTATTGCGCAATTGTGTTAATTATTTATTAAATAATTTTAAAATAAAAATTGTAATTAAAAATATCAATTTTTTTTTATATTTACTGTATATCTTTAAAATAAAGCCATCTAAGGTATCTCTTGAGGGCTGGTACTTTAGATTTTATTTTGTTATTCTTGAGAACTGGTAACATTTTTTTTCAGAATTTATGAAGTTTTAGATGTACAGCTAAAAGGGGTTAGCCAATCCATCATGTAAGTTAATAGTGTTACTTTCTTTGTATACCTGTAAAGTTTTAGGTCCAGTAGGAGCAATACCATAAATCCTAGATACATTAGATCCGAAAATAATTTTTGCTAAATTTTCCAAAACTGTTACATTATTGGTATGACTTTGCTATTTAGGAAAAGGTGATTCAAGTATAGGTGAATTTTCATAAATATGTTGCCAGTGATTATCTAGATTCGATCTTTTTGTGGAAACCTGCAGAGATACAGAACTATAAACATGAATTTAAGATTATCAGCTTTAGCAGATTTAGATAATACCTTATTTAAATGTCTTATAAATTCTTGTTCATATGAAAGAAATAAATTTTTTTGTAAGGGGCAGATCTTTTTAAGGTAACAAGATGTCTGATAGAATCAAAGAAACCTAGTCCTAATGTATGTCACATATCATTTCCAGCTCCAAGTGATCGAATTACTTCAGCAATATTTGCTAAATGTGTATTAGAAAATGTATTAGTAATTAGACTACTTTGTATTGTCTTTTCTGGATAGATAGCTGGTAATATCCCTTTAACTAGATGTGATTTTTGTAATAAATGAACAACATTTTGATTTTGATCTTCTTGTTGCTGCCAATAAAGAAATTCTAAATCATTAGGCAAAATTGGTCTTCAAGATATTTCAGAATTAGATGTTACATCTTGCAATGACAAATTTCTTTTCTGTTCTTCATGTTGCATCTCATCCATTGAATAGGAATTTGATGTGAGGTTTGGTCTCCAGAATGTTTTAGCATAGAAAGTTAGATCTTGTAACAATAAGTGTCTTTGTTAATCTTCACATTGTATTTCACTTATTGGATAAAATTTTTAATTAAAAATAATTTTTTAAAATAATAATAATAATATAATCTATAAACTAGTTATACAGTAAGTAAAAGTAATTTTATAGTATTCATATATTTATATTTAAATTTGTATTTGATTTTGATAAGTTTTTACTGAGTTATACATATTGAGAAAAATTCCAAAAAATGTTGGATACTCCTGTATATATTTTTAGCAAATTAATGTTATATTCAACTAAGTTAAAACTAAAAAAAAAATCATAAATTCATAATAGTTGTCACAATCAAAAGAGATAAAATATTTTTATTACAAAGTAAGTATTTTAGTAAATAATTCTAGTACAATTTGAATATACTATATATATAATTATATTAACAAATTTCAAAATTAACCTTTTCTAATCAAAAATAAATAAAGTAATAAAAAACAAATTCAAAATAGTATATATTATATTTAACAAGATTTTATACTCACAAGTGAATATTAATATCATTAAACTTAAAAACAAAAAAAATAAAGTTGCTAATTATCAAACTTGCCAATTTAAAAACAACATCATTTATTAAAAAAGAGATTTAATTAATTCAAATTTTGCAAAAAACTCTTTCCCGTAAATCATTTTCTATCTGAAAATTTCCTTATTTGATAATAGTCTTTCCAAGAAACTTACTTCCCAAGCACTTCCAAGTGCTCACAACCACTAAATAACTTCCACCA